CTCCTCTAGCATTCCCAGATTTCCTCAGTTGCCTGTAGTTCTTTGTGTAGATAGGAAAACCTCATCAGTTTTTCTTTATCTAGTTTAGCAAGTTCATTGGTGTGTTGCCCTTATTCAGCTCACATCACATTGGTGAGACTTTTATGGGTGAAGCTTCTGATATTACTAGGAGACACTATCCCACAGCAAACTCTCTCTTCCTCTGGCCCTTACTAGAAGACCATGTTTTTCTCGTCTTCTGCATCATTGCCCAGCAACTTTCTTCTGAGTTCTTCCCTCTTTTCTTTTCCTTTAAAAAAGAGTACAGTGCCAAATTGCTGAGGCTGTGTGTCTCAAGCATGGCTCTGGTCACACCCTCTCACTGCAACAGCGGACTCCTAGACACACTAAATCCTAGATAGTTGTTTTCCCCTGTTCTGTTTCTGTTTTACTCAGCTATCACCTAGAGATTCTCAGCTGTCTCCAACCTCGTCTGGTAGCTGTTATTCATCCAATTAACCCCAGTTTATTTCATGGGGAATGTAGCTTGCATTGCCTGCCTACCACCTGCCATTTTAACAAGCCTCTAGTTTCTTCAAGATGCTACTGTAAGGGCTTAAATCTGCACAAGAATCCAACAGATTCTTAAATCCAACTAATTCACATGAACAGGACCACAGTTTCAAATACTATTTTTTATTTTCTGCAATGAGCGCAGGAGCTACATTGTTGTAGTCCTCAGGACAGAGCCCACCAAAAAAAGAGTCCCACCAATAATATTTTATTCATCACTTTGAATGACTATTTCCAAAGTCTATAAAACACTGTGCTTAACATTCTTTCTGTTGACATAAGATATCTGTCTTAGCCATATACGCTCCTTAAAAAGGAGCTTTTAAAAAAGAGCTTCAAGTTGCCCAAGGACAAACTTTCTTCCACTTGCTACTAAGGATGTGATGAGCATTGTTCTTTGCACAGAAAGCTATTTTTGAGTGTGTTGGCAGTGGGGATGTGGACTCTTTCTTCATCATTAACTTCTATTAATTCCTTTTTGTTCTATGAGGATGAAAACTGTAAGGTCTACAAATGATGTATAAAGGACAAATTTTCCAATTTCTCTTTCCTAATCTTTGAGTTAAAGTTAGCACCAAATACCAGCAACATCTTGGTTTATAGTAACAATTTCCCAGGGAGGGAAAAAAATCTTCATTTTTGTAACAGATATGTATAAGGTACAAATGTTAACTACTATTTTTCAGATAGGGAATTTCCATGTAGTTAATTACTAATAAACTTGATACTGAATTTCAGTGCCCCCCCCTCCCAAAACAGCCCTACATGACCTAAGATGCTGACTCGGCAACTGTGCATAGCTTAGAAGGGAGAACAGATGATCTGTGTGACAGTGGAACAGGTGGCTACAGGACCGCTAAACTGAGCTCAGAAGTAGAGTGAATCTATACTAGATTTCAGGGCTGGTTCTGACTCTTCATCATTTAGAGCATCATAGCGCAGGCTTCCTCATGATGTGGATGAGGACCCAAAGGCTTCCTTCATGTGCCAAGATAAGCACAAACACTAAGTCACTCTTCTATTCATGCCAACAGCATACAGCACATGGCCTTGGGGAAGACAAGTCTGGAAATGGAGTACTGAGAAGCATGAGATATACTACCTTGGACATTCCAAAGAATTCAGTTTCTTTTCCAAATAGGGTATTTCACTAGTTTAGCTAAGTAATTTTAACTAAATAGTTTCTATTTAAAAAAAAAAACAAATTTTCAGGAAACACCAACATCATTCTTTACCAAATACTATACACATGTTTGTTTAGTGGCACAAAATTAACCCTGAGAAGCCTCAGCACTATCTTGATGTTTAAGAGTGCTTCTGCATCACTTACAGATATATATTTCATATTTAGAACTTTTTAATCTCACCTAGAAATGTTTCCAAAGTTTAAATACACATTTCAACCTATTATTCTGCAAAGGGCACACATAGGAAGAACTGTTTTCTCACTAGATCCTTCTTCAACAACTCAGATACTCAATCATGATTTCCAAAGCAAATTTTCAAAAATCAAATAAATCGCAAAACGACAAATATAATTGAGCCTCCATGAAGGAGTTCCAATCATCTGCCAAAACAGACCTGAAATTCTTAATCCCTTGTCCAAGAAAATTGGAACAAGTATTGACATTTTCCACCAAGCAAGCCACATAGCCACAAATGTTTCTCATTTACTCTACCCCTAGGGCATACAGCTCAAATAAAATATTTCCTGAATACCCCAAATTTCAGATGCAATTTGGAATGCAAGTGATTCATAATGTAATGCAGGAAACGTTATGCTCTTGTCTTACGCACTCACAGTTTCTGGAATGCAACTCTCAGGAGAGCATCCTAACCAATTAGAAGGCTCACTTTGTTTTCAGTCATGAGACCCAAATATTCTACTCTTTGCCCTTACTCAAATGTGATTTTGAAGCCTCAGCAATCTGTTACTACAGCTACTGTTCAAGTGAGAAAGCTGTTGCCTCAAGGGAGCTAGGAAGGTTCCTCTTCTATGCCATGACAAAACCAAGGTAATTGTGTGTGCATCCATTCCCATTAAGACAGGACAAAGGAACACCAAAAGAAACCAAGCTAGTGTCATTGTTCCTGCAACAAGATCCTTACAGTGGCCTCTGAACAGATTTAGACCCTAATTAAATCAAGAATGAAATTTCACAGAAGCTCTTGTCATAATCTAATCCCACCCTTAAGTCATCAGTAATGTCCTGAGGGACCGCAACTGCAATCATTTTCTTTCACCAACTCCCATTCTCTCTCAATGAAAGGAATACAATTGACATAGGGGAGGAAAAGTGGTCACTGAGTATCCCAAATGAGAATGGTAACTGTGCCTGGTGAAGGGTAATTACTAAAAACAAAGTGTGCAATACCCCCAGTGAGGAAAAAATGCACAGTAGAGTAGCATGTAGATGAGAAAGGATCAAGAGCAACATAACCACACCATTTCCATTAACTAAAGGGAGATTAAAACAACATAGACAAACAGGACATTCTTCAACAAGAATTGTAGAGGGGGTCTGTGGCCCAGTGCAAACCTCAGAATAAGCACCTTGAAAGTTGGAGCAAATGATGGAAATTCCTGATTCTCAGAAATACCATTCAATAGGAAGAAAGTTCTCAAGTAAAGAAAATTATGTAAAATGTTAAACCCCATAGTCCAACTTGAAGATGTGTGTGTGTCTTTACTGTGTGTATCTGAAGCACAGTAAGGAGAAATATGTGGCTTAAAGTAAATTTCTTCAGCAATTGTGACAACAGTAATATTTACAAAGAAACATACAGAACATGACCTTGAATTCATAACTATGAATGTTATGGGACTACTTTGATCACAAACATGAAAAAGAATAAATGTACTTGAAAAAGAAATCAATGCTTACACGTGAATGAAAAATGAATTCATTTCATGTGTGTTTGAATCCTTATGTCAAGGGTAATCCAAAATGCTGTTCAACAATCTCTCCTATCAAAGATTCCATCTTCTATTGTATCTTAGCTTTTTATTAGAGTTAACTCAATGTTTCCATACAAGGAAATACATTGTTTTCCTAACCCTTATATTAATAAGAGAAATTGTTTAGCTGAAGATAGGAAATTGAATACTTGATGACTGTATTTTTCATTGAATTAAACTTAATGTTGTGGATTTTCTCTCACTACAGTTGGTTTAGAATTAAGTGTAACCAGTACACTCGTCAATAAATTTCTACATTTTAAGTTTCTATGAGCAAATGTCACATATAGATGAGGAACTAAAACTGTATACACAGTTTGTCCCTGTTATTTTCCTTCTTTTCTTGTTTCTGTCAGCCATGGCTTCTTGCCTTCTGCAGTTCAGATCCAGGACAGATAGCTTTACACAGGATGAGGTAGTTTAGCATCACCGTATAGTGTTCCCTAATTCTCTTGGCTTTTCTGATTCGTTTTTTTAGATATAGGCTCACTCTAAACCTGCCTCTTTTCCTTTTGCTTTCATTGCCATTGAGCAACTGCTAAGTTTAACTCATAGTCTGCACAGGAACTAAATGTTTTATGTGGCAGTATACTACTATACAGTGAAACAGAGTTCAACAAGACATGGTCCTACTTGTGACAACTGTTTTTATAGGTCAGCTTAACTGAGCATGCAGTGATTGGTATCTGGTTAAAACACTATGCTGTGTACTTTTATAAAAAATGGTTTTGGATGAGAGTAACATTTAAATCAGTGGGCTCTAGTAAGGAATATTGACTACCATAACATAAGTGGGCTCATTCAATCAGTTGAAGGTCTGAACAGAACAAAATGTTGCACCCATGCTTTTCACCATAAGAAAAACAGCATGTCTTCAGCTTGTTCAAAGAAGCCTTCCTGGCTCTACAGGAGCTTTTTGATCCTTGGATTCAAATTGAGACATCAGCTCTGCAGATTTTGTATTTGCCAGTGGCCACTATATCATGAGCCAAATGTTTAGAATAGATCTGCATAGAGAGATACTTAAATGTATTTCACTGGATCTAATTATCTGAAAAAAAAGCTCAAAGGCACATGATCCCATGAGCGCCAGTTAGACTGTGGGGAACACACATTAGTAAGCTGTCTCCATGAGGCCTTTCTCAAAGAATAATCCACAACAGAGTACAGTGAACCAAAGCAACGAGCAAACCAAACTGCTATAAAAAAAAATACAATGAAGAAAATCAAAGTATTTGAGGGCAAGCTCCACCAAATGCAGTATCAGATTATGTAACTCATTCCCCCAAGAATACCCATAAAGCCAGTGATCTGGTTTTAGTTGACAGTTCAGTTGCCTTTCCCTACATATGCTGACTACACGACTTCTCTGCTTTCATTACTTAGGTACTGCCATCTGAAGCTGATCACAGGGACATAAAATGAAGACACGGAGTAGAGTTATAAAGTAATCCACTACTCTGTACGAATACGAAGCCAACAAACTCACTTGAATGGCAGCCAGGTTCTTCCGCTCCTGAGACGGTGCCTCATGGACAAAGCGAAGCCAGTTGGAGTGTCTCGGGTTGGTAGCATCCAAAATATACAGAACTTCTCCCTTGCTCCCACGAACCTAAAACAAAACAAACAAGAAAATCCATATTAATCATTACTTTACTAAGGATAGTAGAATATTAAATATTTTTATGGAGTATGCACTTTTTATTAATAAGCCTTGAATAAATGTTAAACTAACAGCACTCAAGACTTAAGCCATATATTTAGAGTCTTCTATTTAATTTGGCAGGTGTCTGCATGACTCACAACTGTCCTCAAATTTCAGAAACATATCATGTTTTCTGTCTTTTTTGCAGGTATATTTGAATGTACGCATAACAATCACAGTTGTTCAGGAGATAATCATAATGCAATCTGTCTTGTATCTCCATGGAAGAAGTCGCACTGCCTCCCAAATGTGAGGAGTGGAGTGGAAGCAATCTCTTCCAATTCTCTTTCCATCTGTTCAGAGAATTATCCGAAGAAGGAGGAACTGGCTGATTCAACTAGGGGGATGTGGCAGCTCATGGGACACAGGCCTTTCTAGGGAAATAAACAAAATAGACTCCGTTTTGTCTTCTAAACAAACTACTCATGAATTTCTCAAGACAATATTTTTAATTATTTTATTCTACCTAGTGTCTAGCCATGAATCTTGCTGGTCAAACATAATATTTTAACAGAGAAAGAAGTAACAGAATAAAGATAGGGTGGGAGGGAGGGAGGGAGGGAGGAAGGGAGAAAGTAAGGGAGGGAGGGGAGGGAGGGAGGGGTGGGGAGGAGGGAGGGGTCGGGAGGGAGAATGAATGAATCAATCCATAAAACATCTTGAACTCTAAACACTTGAGTTCACTGTCTCCCACCTCCATTATTGGTTACTCTGGCCCACTTTAATAACATACAGGCAACAATCTTCACTTGTATTTATTACTGAAATCCAGCAGAGGAGAGATGGAGAGATTTTAGCAATTTGTTGCTTGTACAGAAAATGCAAGTCCAATTCTCAGCACTCACGTGGTGGCTAACAACCCTCTGTAATTCCAGCTTAAAGGGTGTGACATGCTCTTCTAGCCTCTTTGGGCACTTATTCAAGCTATACATAGACAATATGCAAGCAAAACAACTATACACCTAAAACAAAAATAAATATTTTAATCCAGCAAAAGATATACCAGAATGAATGATTATTCACTCCAGACATGCAACCCACATAAGAGTAATGTAAAGTCTAGAAACACACCTTTATAAACTTGAGGTAAGAATAAATTCAAGGACAACTAATCCATGTGGCATGCATTTTTCATGGCACATTTGCACATTCACGAATTCAACAAGCTACTGCCAAGTCCCATATTACCCAGGACTAAGACTGCTTCTGCAAACAAGGCAAAGACTAAGTCTCTAAGATCACAGCACTTCAGAGTAAACAACAGAATGAAACTTCACATAAATATGAACACTATGAAGATGAATAAGGCAGAGCCCAGAAATGAAGCAATGGGGGAAAGGCCAGGTAAGCACCTTTGATGAGGTGACTTGAACTCAAGTGTTCTAAAGGAGCTAGAGAATGATTTCCAAAGAGAGAAGCAAGAAAAGGCATCATAAAGGCTTTGAGTTCTGGACATGAAGTTGATATACACAAGGAACAGTTGAAAGGCTGAAGAAGATCCAATAAGCACAACTGAGAAAGTGATGGGCATTGAGACCACCTGACAAATGGCAAGTTACCCACAAACATACAGACCAAGAAACCACCCACACAGTCACTGCAGAGTATTTGCAATAATTCGACAAAAATCTGTTTTTAGTTATCTGTTGGATGATGACCAAAAAGTGAAATTTCAACATTCTAACATATATTATATATGGGGAAAAATCAGCATCTTCCTATCGTCTGATATCTACCATTTCTCCCATTTCTCAAAGAATTGTTTTTTCTTTTTAAAAGTCAAGTAGTTTTCAATATCCTTTACAATATCTCTAAAGAGATTTGTAATGATCACTGGAAAGCAGAAATTGTCTAGTATTTCAACTGCAAAAAGCCTTGTGTGTTTCTTGAATACTTAGGTGTAGAACTGTGAGTACTAGTTATACCTCTAACAAAATAACATACTCTTATTGAAATTGCTCCGCCTCCCTGCTTCAAGTCTCACTGACCCATGGAGAACACAAATAAATAAATAAATAAATAAATAAATAAATAATCCACCAGCAATCCTGTTTTTCTGTATTTAAAGTACACTGTATAACTATCACTCAAAGAGAAATTTCATTTAACACAGTAACAATTTTAAATGTTAGGCATAAAGTCATTCCCTTCAAGTACCACCATAACTACAGTTAGAAAAACATTTATATTTCAAATACCTGGATTAATCACAGCAAGCAGTTATCCCACTACATAGTTGAAAAACATCTTTTCTTAAGGAAACTATAATTTAAAATCATAACTATTACTGAAATCCAAATAACCTATCAATGAGTATAAGAACGTGTTTGTCAATGGCATCAACTTAGCTTGAAAGGGACCCTAGACAGGGACTTAGCTCAGGGTCCCTCAGTGATACATCCATTACTCCATATTTCATAACATGTGATCAGATGTGCTTGACATTTGAACTCAATGCAAAGACGTCAGACATTAACAGAAGTTTCTCAGGCTTATAATAAGCATAATTATTTATTTCAGTTTTGTCTCAGGCCCCTTGGCTCCAACTCTTTTCAGTCAGTGTAATCATTAGCAACAACTGTCAACTTGACAGAGTCTATAATCACCTGGGAGATTGCCTGTCAAAATTATATTGATTACATTAACTGCAGTGGGAAACCCACCCACTAAAGGTGGCACCATTCCCTGGTCTGAGATCCTGGCCGGTAGAAGTGGAGATAAGAGCTGAGCAGCATGCATCCATCATGCTCTGTTGCTGACTGTGGATGCCATGTGACCAGCAACTGCTTGACTGCCATGATGGACTACACTCTGAACTGTGAGCCAAACAAAAGCCCTCCTTCATTAAATTCCTTTTTTAGGCTATTTTAGCCTAAAATAGTAGGAAAAGAAAGTAACACACTCAGTTTTAGCATGTGCTTTCATTTTTGGTTTACCAGATGGACATACTTTCCAACTGACCTAACCTCATACAATATTCTATCTTAAGAGAAATACATAACTTACCTTCTTACTGAAATTCTTCTGAAATGTTTTTTTTTTTTTTTGGTTTTTTGAGACAGGGTTTCTCTGTATTGATTTGGAGGCTGTCCTGGAACTCGATTTGTAGACCAGGCTGGCCTCGAACTCACAGAGATCTGCTTGCCTCTGCCTCCCAAGTGCTGGGATTAAAGGCATGTGCCACCAATGCCCATCTGAAATGTATTATTTTAATAAAACAATTTATACTTACTGTTATTTCTATTCTCATAACAAAAATAATGGTGAGAAATTACTGTACACTACCCGAATCTTCCTACTTGAAAACTTATCTTTGTTTGTTAACACAGTCAATGCCTATCTTATTATAATTACATTCACTCAGACTATTAAGTGTCCCTTCTTGGCACTTTACTGAGCCATGCCCTGGCTGCAGTTTGCAAGTCCTGTGAAACCACTGCATTACCTATTCATAAGACTGCATCTTCCTGCCCTTGCCATAGTATACTGACTGACACACCCTCTGAAGGAGACATCCTTGCTCTTTCAGCACAAGGCAGTCAAGACAACCCCAGACAGACAGCTACCTATTAAAGTATCCATTTACCTGTCGTAATTTGATAATAAACCCTGAAGTAATATCGGGCTGGTTCACCTCTCTGTGCTTGGCTCCTCAGTCAGTGAAAACTGTACCCAGATGGGAACACTACTGTTTCCAGCTTCTGTTAATACTGATGTTGCTTTTCAAATGTCCAAGAGGAAGGAAAAATGTATGCATTTTTGCTACCACAGGTATGCATCTTCTTCCAGACCCAAGACTAGCAAAGCCAAAGGAAAGCCACAGCTCACTTCAACTTCCAACCCAGCTTATTTCACATACACAAAAACTCAGCTCGGTTAGTGAAAAATCTTAGCATGTGAGGACAGAAGTAAGAATCAGGCAGTTAGTGTCAATCAACTTCCCTTAAAGATCACTATTTTTCTTGTTAAATCAGGTCAGCTCTACACAGGAAGTTTCCTTTGTTATTTGGGTGTTTACCAAGGCTCTATAACATTTCATTCAATATTATTCCTTCAGTCAGTTCAAAAGCAGAAGTATTTCTAACTCATGTACACCAGGGAGACTCCAAAAGCAAAGCTAATCTGACAAATTTTCCACCAAGAAGTGGCAAAATGGTACAAGTTAGCAGCAGTGGCACAGTCAGTTCCACAGACATCCTTGATGAGAGACTAAAGCGTGACTTCCCAGGGGAGACACGTGCACTTTAGTAAGGCTTTTCAGAACATTAGTTCATAACACTGAGACTGACAGCATGAGTGTCTTTTATGTAGAAAATGCCATAGTTTAATTTAAATCACAAGCCACTTCTCTGCAATTTTTTAACTGAAGAAAACCATATGCTCTGCCTTCAGAGCTTAATTAGTCAAATGTCAAGACACTTTATGGGTGCTGAACAGCAAGAGACACTGGAGTACAATCTGACATTTCAGTGTTATCAAATTTAAACCAAAAGACCAAAACACCCAGAGATCAGAAGTACTCACTAGCAAACTAAAGAATTACAGTTTCTAAGCAGTGTTTCCCTTGGTGGTTTGTCAAAGGATTCTGAAGGCTTTTTTCTTTGGGTGCTTATAAACACCAAAACCGTGTCAGTGCAGGAGTTAGGAGTTCAGAAAGCAGGAGATGTGGGTTCACACTGTAGGTCAGCACCATGTTAAATGAACTTGATAGGATAGGTCCAGCTGGGAGTGGTGTCACCCCATGAGTAGCAGTATGGGCACAGGAACAAGGTTTAGACTGGCGGAGTGTAAGGGAGGCAGTTAGAGCTAGGATATACTGATTCTTACTTTGTGTCAGTTCTGTAAAACACATTATGATCTTAGACTATAAATGTATCTCTGCCAATCAAATATATACAAATTACTAA